AGAGGGCAGCTATTATGTAGCATTTATCCATGTCTACTTCATATGAGTAATAGTTATGCCATTAATAATCTATGAAATTATGGTATAGACATATTAAAAAATAAAGATATATATAGGACCATGCGCACATGGAAACAAAAGGCAGGGGAAGCCTTTACTTTCCTATTAACATGAAAAATTTCTCTTTTGGATGTCATTCTTTCCTATTTCACCCTGACCTTGTACAGGAAAACCCAGTTTTGATACCCATGGTGCCCACTTTATCGAAGAGCATGCATACATATCTTAGAGGGATTTCCCTAGCATAGCTCTAGGAAGCAGGAAAATACCACCTCTCTGGAAACAGCATTCCTTCCTCTCCTTGGATATCTCTTTTCTTCCCAGTGGGACAATGGGTGTACTACCCCAAGCCATCAGCTCCAAGCCTGCTCATGTCCCTTCCCTTTGGACTGTGCAGGGAATTTGGCAGTTGGATTCATTACCATTAATGTTTATGAGGTCTCAGGAAGGCTACAAAAGTGCTGAAGCTTTGTGCAACACAGTCCTGAATTACACTCCGCATTGTGACTAGGAAGAAATGTAAAATAAACAATATAATTTTATACTGTGCTGTGTGTGGCCCACAAATTACAGGAGGAAGAATTACATAAAGAACAATTCATCTCTGAGATTCCAATTATAGGTGTGAGGAGAAAACAATATATTGGTGGGAATCTGAAATGCAGAGCAGTTGGCATAGTTTTATTTCAAAATGATAAATATTTTCAGATCGAAGTGCAATTAGTAGTGAAAATGTCATGTAGTTTTACTGTGTATGTTTGTTAATATGGCTGGCATAACTCATTTAGGAGATGCCTGCAGTGCAGAGTCCTATACTACATATATCATAACCAAAAATACAGTACTTACACATATATATAAAATGTACACAGAGACAACATTGCCAAACAGCCTTTTGGGACAGTTTAAAAGAATATCATTAATTTTTACTGTATACTTACACTTCTGGCTTGGTTCCAGCACTGGCTTTCTGTAAAATCATTTCAAGTATAGAATTATGCTATTTGCTTGCAGCAACATCACAGGAACAGTAGTGAGCCATATGTTGCTACTTAGCAACTTGGTCTGTAAGTCCCAAAGCATGTACTGATTTGAAAATTGAACAGAAATGATAATTATTGTTGAGGGATGCTGTGAGGCAACTTGTCTTGGATTACCAAACTATGCAGATGTTTGATGTTATATAGCAAAAGGAACAAAACTATATTTTTCCTGTCCAATAGCTGAGCTTTTATTTATGTTAGCCTGAAGGGGATAAATTGATTAAACCCCATAAAATAATATAAGGTGATGTTTTTCTGGATACGAACACTTTCCAGTAAACAGCAAAACTGAAGTGCATGTCAGCATGCATCAGAAACCCAGAAATCCTGCTTCTGTAGACACAAAATCCTGAAGACAGCCTAGCGGAAACCCTTGGTCTTTGGTGTTGCATACCATGATTCAGTGTGCCAACCTACCTCCCAGATAAGCTGTGTCAGACTCTGAAATTAGAAAATCATGCTCATATCTGACTCAGTCAGCATCATCAGAGCTTGAATAAAAGTTTCTGATAGGACTGTGCATCTCCTAACATCTGGGATTCATATTTTAGTTAACAGATGTGCATTCATCAAGGAAAGTGGAGAAACGAATTCACTCCTCATTCTGACAGGATTCAAATCCTCATCTCTGATCTTGTGAGGGAACAGCCAAGTTATCGAGGGTAGGAAGGAACTTGCGCTCCTCTTGCTGAGGTCATGCAACAGCAAGGCTCATGAGAACAGGAGCAAAACAGACATAGGATGAAACTACGAAAGAAGCGATGAGGCTGTCATCTGAGAAAAAATGTTTTCTCATCTCTTTCTAAGGAATTATGTGTTTTACATCCAGTAACAGTAAGAGGTAAATGAACAAACAGCTCTGAAAACTAGGGTCAGAAAACACAGTTGCATTCTTTTCTCTTCCTCTTCCTCCCCTGCAAGCTACACAATCTTTCATGCTTTGTTTTCAGAGCAGGGATTGTAATTTTTTTTCCAGTTTTAACAAACAAATTGCATGTGGAAATAGTCAGTTTACCAATTTTGCCTGAGATAGGAACATCACCCTATTAGAGTCAGTGAAGACTTCACGGATACTGTCAGTGGAATGTTGTTTAGTTCCTTTCAGGAATGACTAGCAGCTGTCTAGAGCAGGAACAGGTTTGGAAAGGGTTCTCTCACAGTCACAGTTTCTTGATGAAAAAAGAGAAAGGCAGGTTTCCAACACACCCCAGCTTCATGCTCCTAGTGTGGTTTATTTGTCTTTTTTTTTTTTTTAAATACTGTTATTTTTAATACTATTATTACAGGCTTTCACACGTGTTCCAGCCCACACAGAGCTGGAACATCTCTCCTATGAAGCCAGGCTGAGAGTGCTGAGGTTGTTCAGTCGGGAGAAGACATGGCTCCAGGGAGACATTAGAGCAGCCTTCCAGTGCCTAAAAGCAGCCAATAGGAAAGCTGGAGAGGGACTTTTTACAAGGGCATGTAGTGACAGGACAAGAAGGAATGACCTTAAGCTGAAGGAGGGTAGGTAGAAATTAGGAAGAAGTCTACTATAAACATGGTCAGGCAATGACACAGGTTGCTCAGAGAGGCTGTGGACCCCCTATCCCTGGAAATGTTCAAGGCCAGGCTGGATGAGGCTCTGAGTAAACCGGTCTAGTGGAAGATTCCCTGCCCATGGCAAGAGAGGTGGAATTGGATGATCTTTAAGGTCTCTTCCAACTCAAACCATTCTATAATTCTATATATTCGCTTAAAACCACTGCAACAGCATAAGCATCAGAGAAGATCCCAGCAAGGGAAAGGAGGTTGCCAGAGCCCAAGGCTGAAAGCTTCTCTCAAAGAGGCACAGCAGGCTGATTGACTGGTGTGGACTTGGTAATAACTTAAAACACTATGCCTGGCAGTTGATCCATGGATCCTCCAGCAAAGGACAGAGTTTTAACACCTCCCTCCAGATTCTGAACTCTACCTGGGAGCCAGACACTCAAGAGCTTGGCTTCGTCACAGTGATATTATAAGTCTGTAAGCTCTTTCTTGGTTGCAGCCCTTAGTAAGCATTCAGGGTTTTCTGACATCTTTGAATTTGAAAATGTCACATTTGATGGATTTTTTTCCTTGAAGACAAAGTCATTTGCATTTAAAATACCTAGGCCTGGATCTTTAAAGGTACTTTAAGCACCTCACTTCCACTGAAACCAGTGAGTGTTAGATGCATAAATATCTCTGAGGATCTGGTCCTTGTTAGTACATGTAGAAACTGCATAAAAGATTAAAACTTATACTCTTAATTTTTCAATATGCCATTTAAATTATTTAAACTACATGCATACACAGTACAAAAATATCAACAGAAGAAAAATAATTCTGATGTATAATGTGGATTTGCAATTCTTTATTCAAAACTATTTAAGACAGACATAATGATTCTCTGAAAGGTAGCAGCTGCCTTATAACAGCAATCATTCACAGAGTTTGTATTTCTACTGTTTCAAACAAATTCAATTAGCCCTTGCACTTCAAAACCCTTAAGGCATAAATGAGATGATACTAGGCTGCTTTAATCTAATAGTAATACTAAAACTTGTCAGTACAGTTTTTGGATTAATGGTTAGAGAAAAATTAATAATATAATTTTTCATTTTTTAATCAAACAGTTCTATTCTAAACTACCTCTGGATCTTGGAGGGTTCTTAGCTGAATAAGTTCAATCATGCACAATTCCTAAAAGCAAAGTACTATTGGTCTCTAAAGGTATTTCAGAGTAACTTCAATAGAAGGCTGGGAAGCAACATGGTGGAATATTTTAAAGACAGTCTTTTTGATTGAACCATGCACTCATCTCACACAACCTCCTGCTTCCCTGCCCCGAAATGAACCTGTGTACCTGAAGAACCCTACTTCACAAAGACATTTAGCTTTGAATCTACTGTCACTTTCCAAAGCTGTTGATTCCTAAATTACATCCAGCTTATCTAAACACATTTACTATGCATGCAAACTTATTTCCCACCTAATGAGAGCTCTTCACATAATCCTCCTGTCCTGTCAGAAAGACCAGCCACTGCTGGGCCTGAAATATTGCATGACCTAGACCACAAGTCTGATTATTCATGGCAATTTCTGACACAGTCTAACTGACCTGCAGGACTATACCCTACACTTACTAGTGTGAAATTAAACTGACCAAAACACATGAAGCAAATAAAAATTTCTCCCCTGCATATAGATGTAGCAACAGGTAGACAAAGCAAAACTGTCAAACCTGCTTTTGCTTTTTTAATGAAGTAATTAAAATCTTTCATTCTTAGAAATCTATAATATCTTGGGGTTTGAATGGAAAGGAATATTTTTAAATATACACCCAATATCAAAATTTAGTGTGTATGGTTCCCCAAAAGGAAAAGGACTCAAAAATACCTGTAAAGAATTCTCAGAAGACTAAGTCATTGCCTTAACTCTACTGCTAATTGTTTAATGTTGGCAACACTTCTCAGCCATAGGATTAGTGTTAAAAATGCAATTCTTCAACTGCCCTACGAGTGATAATTAAAGCTATTTGTGACATGTGTAGCTTATAATGATTAACTTGTCTGCAGTCAGATAAACAAATAACCTGCACCTGTAACGACTTTATTTCCTGAAGGTAAAACAACTGTTTAGGAAAGATCATGCTGGCAAAACAGCTGCTTGCATTCTGGAGAGGAAACAAGGTAGTATCTTTCAACAAACGCCAACTCTGGTGTTTTATCAGCTCTATCTCATTAACTGGAAACAAGGCTTAAATGCTTTGTTTATAAATTATGATTATTCCTGATTGCAGCAGTTACTGATAGTGCCACTCATTTGCAATGCAACTCTTTGAATTTGTTTAATTACAATTTGAAACAAGGCAGAGAAGATTAATTAACCCACCTGGCTGGCTGGCACATAGTCCTGGCTCGGCTCTGTCATACTCATATACATGTTTTCACCGTCAAACTGCAAAGAAAATAATAGTAAACATTCAGCAAACTTGATTTTTCAGCATTTACTGAAAAAAACCAGTTCCCATAAAATAACAGTACAGCCTGGTTTTAGAGACTTGTAATTGCGTGTGTGCATCTTGTCTTTGATGTTCCTGTTGTCATCCTTATTGACCCTGGATGTCAGTGATTTGGAGTAATTAGCGCTCTAGTAATTACAGCTAGCAAGCAAGAAATGAATGGTTTCCTTTCATCTACAATCTGTTTTAAAACAAAATGGCTCATTTTGTGCACCATGTATACATATTGCTGTTGGTTGTAATGAAGTACTAAGTGAATTGCACAGTTACTGAGAAAAGGAAGATGAGAATAGAATCTGCACTAAAATGCATCTTAATGAATTCCAACTTTAGCTTCTGAGCAGAACAAGAGCTGAAATTTCAAAACAAATTAAACCCCCTCCTATTGAAATGTTCCTGTATCAGATAGTAGGAAATACATTTCCAGACAGCTTTCAGACATCTGAATGTATGAAACAGTATACATCCTGACCGTATGGTGTAAGAGGATAGTTTGCTTGATGTGTGAATAAAGTAAACATTTGTAATCAGAACTGCAAAAATAACCTTCTGTAAATGATAAATTCCATTCCTGGAAATATATACAAAGCCTCTTTCCTTTTTTTTAAAGTTTTTTTTTTCTCCTCTCAGTCGCAATTAAGTAACAGAAATGTGACAGGAAAGAGTCGATTCAAATCTGAAGGTCTAGATGGAGAAAGACTGCCAGATCTGAAGCCTCATCCTGTACCAACACAAAAAAATATAAAACTCCTGATTTCTTACATAATCTGGAAGATGTCCCCATAGAACTCTCGTCACATCCGCTCAAGTGGCAGTGCCAACAGGGGAACTATAGTCCCAGTGTCTGCTCAGGAGGTAGGGAAAATCTTTTCAAACCT